TCTCAGTCAGTGGTTTACTGAGCACATGATGGCAGTGTTGAGACAGACGAACACAAATGCATCTCTGACCTTTTCTTCGCAATAAACAGCCATGTGGCGCCTTAAAACCTAGTTGGACAATTTCAAATACTAATCAAATCTGTTTTGTGATTCTCACGGGCGTCCAATGTAGTCAGAGAGTGTGGATGTTGTGCCTGAAGTTTGAATTTACTTAATTTTTATACGATTTTATGGTTTGTGTGACCAAAAAGTGCAATCAGCCCCTCTATCACAAATGAATGCACACTTGGAGATGTTACTGGTCAGTCTGCAGGCAAGCAAGCAGAGCTGTCTCTATGGATATTGCTTTCGTCACAATGCTTCCCATCAAGCCTGTGCTAAGCTCTGGTCATGCAGCAGATGCAGACCCTTCACAGCACATAACCAAGATTTCTGGTGGAGGAGACACCATTAACGATGAAGCACAGCCCAAAAGAAACACAATTTTATTGAATACTTACCTAAATAATTAGCAGTGCTGTTTTCCTTTGCGAGTATATTTAAAGCACGTGAAATTTCTTTTTTCATGTCTCATAGCACACAATGCAGTTCCCTGTCTTCTCGAGCTACAGCATATCACTGTTGTGTTGCAAAAAATTATGGTGCTTTAATTGTGTTCTGCTGCTGACCTTTTCCTGAAATGTCCTAAACACCTGTGCCAATTTACCTTAGGCGTTGTGTTTTTGCATCCTATCAAAAAAAAAAAGAAAAAAGAAGAAGCTCCGATCATGTAAAAAATGTGCTGTGCTGAACTGACATCTAGGTAGCCCCTTTCAGATCTAGTTTTTAGTAAGAATCTGTGATATGTTTTAGTGTTACTGCTGGGAAAGCAAGCAATAAAATATAAGATTAGAACAAAGATAAGAATAGAGAGAACACCAAAGCGTTCAAATTTGAGAGATAATACAGAAATATATGTTCTAGCTTCATATTGGTCAAATCTTGGCAGCTACAACCAAATTGAGCTATAGATGTAAGAACTTTTTGAATTATTTAACAAGGCTGCACATGCTAACTAGCGGTATATGCATTTGCTAGTGGCAGCTAGCAGCTAATTGACTTAATTGACTTGTTACTGTTGTAGCAAACAGATGCCAAGTTCCTAAATTCGGTAGCCATTATTGAGCTCACTAGTTTGAGAGAGGCTAGCTACATGTCAATGTGGGAAATTCCATCATGACATTAATAATTCTAGTTTTTTAAAAAAAATTTCAACCTTAATACCAATAGTTCAGATTTTAAGTTTCAAATTTTTCTGTTATATTCACATACCACTGGAATATCATTAGCAGTAATGAAATAGTTAATATAGTTAAGTGGATACATGTCTATGTACATATCCAGCAATTTCAGTACAAGTGCAAGGTATTTAGATTTTGAGCAGCTCAGTAGCCAGATGGCTTGCTGGTATAAACTGTCCATCATCATCAGTACAGGAGTATCAAGCAGATCTTGATGCTCCTGTATGAGTCAGTCACATCCATACCTTGCTAGGATTTTCTAGCTTCAAATGACCAAAGGGGAGATTTGAAAATGCTAAGCTTCAATGTCCATCTATTTTATTACTACATTGCACATAGATATATGTACACACTTACATACCTAATTCTCCCCATTTGCAAATGTTTTATGACTGATGAACGTTTTCTTTCCCCACCAGCATCCTAAAACCACCACAATGCCTGGACTCATTAACAAGGAGAATCGGGGCGCTCTGCCACTCAGTGTGTCTGACATCAGTTCCTGTGTCAGGGGTTACACTTTGGCTCTGACAGCTTCTATGACCTATGAAAATATTGAGGATCATGCAATTGAAGGTGAGCGAGACTCATTTGTCACTTCAGTAATTTGATGGCTCACCACTTTCGGCCAATTTAGATTAACCGCATGCTCTTTTAGGCACTTGTAAAATTCATTATTATCGACTGAATAGGAAATGCTTGGTTGGTGTGTCTGGATAAAGCTCTTTCTTATTTTTGTTTTGTGTCTCTCTCTTACTGTCTTTTAGGGATCTTCATTTATCCACTGGAGGAAAATTCTATTGTTGTAGGCTTCGAGGCTATGATATCTAGTCAGATTATAACACTTCAGATCAAAGACAAGGCAAAAATCGACGACTGTTATCTGGATTGCTGCGGCACTTCTAATGGAGCTCTCCAGAGTGGCAGCGGTAAGACCAAGCAGCTCTAATCAATACTGTTATATTAGCAAAAGATCAAATGAGATGAGTGAAAGTTAAAGGTGTTCAAGTTGAGGAAACCACTGAGAAGCATTACTCCAGTCTGCAACTCCCTGCCAGCTTTGTGGAGTGGTTTAGGCTCGTTTATATCTTTGAATTGGTTTCACAGCTGCCGTTATAGGGTGTGTTTTGTTATCTTTCAGAAACCCCACATTTCCTCTTTGGTAATCCCTACCAGATGATGCCAGAGCAGCTAAAAGCCAGATATTTCCCTCGGGAGCTGGTGGAGACCAAAGCAGAGTAGTTATTGGATTCAAGTCATTAGACCTCCAAAAAACAAAATAAGATCAAAATATATCAGTCATGTCACCACAAGGGGTAGTACTTAACCTGTCAGGCCCTGTGAAATATGCATGGTACAATATTTGCTTTTGCTCTGGGGGGAGCTTCCTGCAGTCAACAAATGGGCTTCAGGTGCATTAGCATGTATGAGGGGACGCAAAATTTACCATGTAACAGTGGATGTAGCATCCAGCTTTGTACTAAGCATGGGAAGTCAGTTTATGCTCCACCCGGCTGCTTCAAGCTTGATCATTCTTTGCTTAGATAACAGAAAAGATTTCTGGTCTCCTTTTTTTCTCCATTGATAATCAAGTGAAGCAAACTGCGTCATTACTTGAAAAAACAAAACAAAACAGAGATACTGAAAGGGACTTGACATTCAATTTTGAAGTAACCCTAAAGATTTTTCAATGCCCAGCATTAGGATTGTGCTTAAAGTCCTGTGCTTAGGAAAGGTGTACATTGGAGTCAAGAGACGTAAGTGAGATTTTATACATCAATCAATCAGTAGGACTAATTGTTTTAGAAAGAAAAAAGGGATAATTCAAGAAAGTAATTTGTTGTAAGAAAACGGTTGAACAGTTTTGTTTAATATTTTATACATGCAGGATCGTAGTTACTGCGGTTATAGTTTAAAAATCTGCTGTTTCCCCTTCTAACAGGACACATAGTGATGGATGAGGATTTTGAGAGGACCGTGTTAGTAGTTAACCTTGGGATCATCCCTCCCATGGAGACGGTCCACATTTTGGTCAGTACCTCCTCTGAGCTTTCCACTCTGCCAAGTGGGGGCATCAGAGTCTCATCTCCACCTGTGTGTACGCCCCGGGTGCAGAGGTCCATCAACGAGGAACAGGGACTGTCCCCAAACTTCTCCAGAACGTAAGCAAGTTGAAGAACAGCAGAAATCACTGTCTGGTTGGCTTAAGATGGTATATTTCTAAATGGCATCTGGCACTTTAGGCTCTTTAAACTCCAGTTCTCATACTTCTATATGGTTTTAACATATCTATAATTTTCCCACTTTTAGGCGGGACAGACAGACCTCTGCTTCAAGTCCTCATGACCAAACTCCCAACACACCTCAGCTTTGGTTGGCTTTATTGCTAGAGGAGGAGGCCATCAACTCCATGGACTATGAGTTTAATTTCCAGCTTGAGATACGAGCTCCCTATCTCCTCGCAGGTCCGTCAAATTTCTCTCATGAGAATTTCTTGAAAGTGCATCTGTCTGCAGTAAGAAGCAGCACATTAAGACGATTACTGCAGTGAAGTGTGAAAAACACGTGTTTGCAGAGATTTGATCCTGCTATATATTTTCACCGACTCTTCTAAAAGAGGGGGACTTGGCCTAGCATAGACTATACAGAATGCTACACAGCTAGCATGGATTTTTTTCTAGTACCAGCAATTCTGAAGCTCTCGAATGAGCCTACAAATATTAAAATATCAAATGGGCACTAATGCTTGACTAAGCTTGTGTCTCACCATAAAGTTCTGAGATATCTAGTTATGACTAACTAGATATCGCTGGTTTTGCTGGTTTCATTGTGTTTTTTTGTTTTCTTTTTTTATTATCCTGGGCTAAACTTAAGTCTCATGAATGAAGCTTCATATTTAATCCACAGATTTGAAATTAGTACATTCTCTTATTATGTACGGTAAGTATTAAAAGAGAACAAATTTACCATTATTATAGGCAGGCAACCAAATTAAGCTCTGGACAGTTCTGGCGGATCTGCTAATCTCAGCCAACATTAGCTGATGGCTCAGCAGGTACCGCTGTGCACATCCATTTGGCAAGTTACATAGCCCTCTATTTAAGCTGCTGTAGTCTGCCTACAGTTGCAGCACATCTGCAGGCCTGCTTTCATGCTCTACCTGACTTAATATGTTTTGCTACTGAAGATGTTCTGTTCTTTAGTGGCTTCAGTTTAGAGGACTAACAACTTGTTATTTGATCTGCTGTGGATGACGCTCTGCGCAGGTGTGGAGAGCCCTTCTCACGCCATCCGAGCTGATGCAGATCCTCTGGCCCGCTCTGCTACCAGCATTGTAATCACTCTGGCAGACAAGTACACTTATGACTACCCGGTCGTAATCCTCATCTACCCAAGCGGTAAGTCTTCAACTTAAAAACAGCCCCACAATTTTGTTCTTCCACCCTCAAGTAAAACAAAACCAAAAAATAGTTACTTCAGCTCTGTGAGACTTTTACTGCAGCCCATAATAAGATCAGTGAAAAGGTGATTCACTGCCTCACGTTGTGTTTGTGAGTGCCTCTTCAGGAAAAAGGTCTTCTGTTATTAATGTATGACATGCCAGTAGAGCCAGACTCTGCCGTGTGGGTGGGTATTGTCAGTTTTCTGGTTCTTGTATTTCCCTCACCGTTGTCTTAACCTGCAGTGTGTGTGTGGGCCGTTTGTCTCCCAGAGGGAGGAACGAGCCCCGCTCAAACTGATCCAATAGGCCTCTTATGAAGGCTTTGTTCACAAACAGACCTGCGGCCAGAGTCGGGCAATTTAATTCATCTCATACGAGTGCTGCAGTTTCAATCACAACATGGATGCTCAGCCAGACCAGAGAGATGGAGGAAATTGAGGTGCAATAGGAAAAGAGGAACAGTTGGGTTTCATCATCAGCTTGGTTGATTAATTGCCTAATTGTGTCAACTTATTGCTGAGTTTCTGAAAGGTTCAACCTTTAAATGTAAGGATTTTAATACTTCATGTGTTGGAAATTAATATCTGATTTATGACCAGAGAAAAATGCATATTAACAAAAATCCTAAGGAATGAAAAAGTATTTCCAAATGTTATTTTCTATCAATAAACTGAGCTTATCAGCAGCATAAAATGGATGGATGAAAGGATGGGTCTCTCAACCAAGAAAATATCTAATTAATTGAACTTCCTCATGAATTTTAATGTCAGAAGTTTTCTTTATTAACACAAAAGCGCTTTTCTCTCATTGTCTGCAGAAAGCTAGAAAAACATTTTGGGCATTTTAGATATGCTTTAGATAAGCTTTTTCAAGACCTGCAGAGTCTATGCAGAGAAGAAAAATAACAGTTGAAATCCCCAAGATTTGCACAGATGCCTGAGCATCTTTTCTTTTTTTTTTATCTGTCACCTCTCAATCCTAACAGTAACACAATGTGTCTGGTTCAGAGGGAGAGGAACCAAACACATATAGGTGCAAGTTTAAAGAACACAATATAAATAAATATTACCAACCAACCCATCTGAGAATTGGTTAGAATTTCAGCACTTTAAAGGAATAATTTAACCGTGGAAAGACCTCCTACGTATATGAACATATATTAGGAGATTTACAGGTTTTGAAAGAATATACAATGTCTGACCCAGCTATGTGATCATTTCCAGAGGAAGTGTTTATTTAAAGAGTTACAGTTCATCGCTGAAACTGCTCTAGTGGAGGATACTGAAGATCTTTGTGCTTGACCTTGTGCTTGATCTTTGTGGAGCGCATTACCATTGATCACATTTTGCTGCAGAGACAATGAGTCTGCAGGGTTTTGTGCATGCTTCTCAGTATCATATTGTGGTCTTCCATTTTTCCCGCCTACCTAGCAGCTTCATATTCAGCATCCTTTGTTTCATATACTGTATTCACTATCCCTCCTCTGCACATGTCCAAACCATCCTCGACTACCAGGCTTTTTCTCCAAACCGTTCATCCTCAGTTGTCCCTCTGATACACTAATTTGTAATCCTGTCCATGCTGGTGACTCCCAGAGAAAATCTCATCATCTGCAACCCTGCCACCTTCAGCTTAGCCTCGTGTCTTTCTGTTAGTACAACCATCTCCAAACCAACCATCATAGCAGGACTCACTACCATCTTGCAAATCCTTTCATTCTTCCCTTTCTATCCTTCTGTCACAAATCACCTCTGACTCTCGTCTCCACCTGCTCCACCCTGCCTGCAGTCTCATCTTTATCTCTTTCTTCATTGTGCACTGTCTATTGCTTTGGTTGTTCCCCTCCAGGGATTTAAACTCATCTGCCTTCACTGTCTCCACTCCCTGCAGCTTCTCTGTTACAACTATACTTATAAAAACAAGATGATGCAAATGAATTTGTTAAACTACAGACATGTCTTAAGGATATAAAAGCCTGTGTGACCTGTAATTTTCTACTCATAATTTCCCTCTTTTCATTAATAAGCCACTACTCCATGTCATGAACTTTTATTCTTTCTATCGTTTGTATTTGGACCCTGGTCTCTCTGTTAGTTGTTCATAGGAAATCATGTGATTGTTGTGTTGCTTTCTTCAATATTTTGAGACGACTGCTGTTTTGAATTGGTGGTATATAAATAAAACTTAAAGTAGCACTTATCATGTGTAGATTTGCATATACCGGTAATGATTTTGATACAGGGACAATAAGGATACCTGCAGTAGTACATCTTATTGCTTATTGTGAATGATATCCTGGAGCATTACTCTGTAAGTGGTATTTTATGCTTATAACTCTAGATGGTGGTGGTTTACATTTTAAATGATGTGTTGGGCAATGTTGTTGCCATAAAATATGAAAGGATAGGGCGATAGAAAGTACGAGACACAAAAGGGAAGAATGAGGAAAAAAGTAATAAGGCCAAGACAGTGAAAATCTGTGTTTTTAGATTTCCGCACTTTCCTTCCCTTCAGCTTCAGACATTGTCCATCTGCTTCATAATCTTGTCTGAGGCATTTATAGTAATGTCTTTGCCATGACCAACTGTGCCACTTTAGAGCCTCATGTGCCGCATGTGCTCATTGAGAACGGGGACATGACACAGGAGGAGTATGATGAGTATCTTCACAGCCGGAGTGATTTCATCAAGGCCACCAAGAAGGACTCCAGCAATGAGAGGAAAGTGAGTGTCCATGACATGAGCACCACACCTGAACTGATAAGCACAATATCACACTGCTTTCATTTTGAGCATGATATCACAAATATTTCCCTGTGAAAAATATTATTTATTTGGCTATTTGTTGCAATTTAGTGTTGTATAATACAATGATATTACGCACTGCGGTTTCAATATAGGGTTGAATTGGCTCCTGTGTGGCATAAATACTGAAACTTCCTTTTGTATTATGAAACTTTATTAAAGTTGGCAGGTAAACTATGACAGAGATTTTTTTATTTAAACTGATCTAACGACAGTAAGTGCCTTAAAACCCAGACAGGTAAAGGAAAACCTCTACTGTATTCTTTTTGTTATATTATACACAGAAACGGCCCTAACCAATCTGGCGCCCTAGGCAAGATTTTAGGTGGCGCCCCCCTACATCAGCAGTGTAGCGTAATGTTGTAACAAATAATATTTCTATTAAATAAGCTTTACTTTGCATTTTAATTAACGTGGGATTATTTTTTGTATTTAGAAATAATAGTACCAACTTTTTTTTTTCAACATTTGTGGCACTGGCATGGCGCCCCCTAATGGACGGCGCCCTTAGCATTTGCCTATACGGCCTATGCCACGGGCCGGCCCTGATTATACAGTTTGTTTAAAGAAATTTGTGTGATAATCAGCATTGCTGAAAATCACACTATAATTAAATGTATATGTTAAAACATTAAATTTGGTATATTAAACCAAGCTTAATGCTGAAAAGCTACTACTCCAAAGCTAAAATGGTATTAAATACTAGTCAGTTACGCTAGTTAGCCATAACTTTAACCTTTTTGTGAGACCAATCTGCAGGAACAGACTGTGTGCAGTGTGAATAGTGGACCCAAATGCAGACGAACGAGTCTTTATTACAGCTGATTACATGAATGCAAAAGCAAAGCAACACAAACTGTGGCAAGAAATAAGCTAAAACATAAACTGGAAAAGCTAGGAATTACTATAACAACTATGAACATGATTTTGAGCAGGAGGACGAGAGAAACTATGAGACCAAGAAACATAAACATGCCCTGAACAAAACCCTGGAAACCTGACGAGATGTGGTGGGAGGTAACACAGACGACCTGACAAATACTGAAAGAAAACAGACTAAATAGACACAGGAGGGGGTCAGAGTGGAAACACATGGGGAAACAGCTGGCACAAATAATCATAATGACACACCAGGGGAAGTAAAACAAAACACACTGAACATGGAGACACCTGACTCTTCAAAATAAAACAGGAAAACACTGAGACACGTAGACATGACACCACAGGCTTGACAACACAGACAAGAAATACACGAGACTAACAAAGAAGACCCAGGTGAAACATAACTAGTATACACTCAAAGCAAACGAATAATAATCCTATAACTCTACATTATCTCAAGATATAGCATAAGAACATAAACTGAAAACACTGACATTTTGTCACTCATGATTACTTCCCTGCCCTTAAAATTTGTACACAGTTAGCCGTTCCAACAGGACAACAATCCCAAACGCATAAGAAATGGATAAAGAAGGCTGACATTAAACTTTTAGAATAGCCTTCACAAAGACCAAAGAATATGGTTCTATTAAAAAATTATGGACTATACTTAAAGGCCAGGTGTTTGCTAGGAAACCAACCGATTTCAATGAATTCTACCAATTCTGCCAGAAGCTTGTTGATGTCTACCAGAAGCATCTGGTCTAGGTGGAATCTGCTAAGGGACATTTAACCATATTAGTGGCAGTATTTGTATATATTTGAACCTGTGTGTACACTTTTGACCCTGCGTGGATTATGGAAAATCCCAAATAAATTCAAATAAGTCCATCAAACTCTTGTTTTTTAGAGTCATTAAAGATGAATATTGTACAATTATTCCTTTGCTGGAAAAAGAACAGTTCAACTCCAGCTATGTTGAGCTTTTGCCATCCAGTCAGTTAGGAAGCATCTAACTGATGCTTCATTCTAATATGTAATTAAAGCACTGCTAACTAAATGTTTAAACTAAAACAGATAATATTTTTATGTTAAATAGCAAAAATCTGGGTCCATAGTAAGTAGATAAAAAGGCTCGTCTTTTGAGTGGCTACAAATAACTGTTAATTGGTGGTACTAATTGTACCTACACAGTAAACATCTGGTTAAAAGAAACATGCGATTCTTCTTTTGTGAGCTTTGCTTGGTGATAAAGCACAACATAATTTAGGTAAAAGACAAAGTGTTATTTGATAATGAACAAAGAGAGACTTCTCTGGGCTTCAGCTCGTTAGCTCCACTTTCACTGCTGCGCCCCTGGTCATGCATGTGTCCATTCGCGTCTCAGCTATGATGAGGTTGTTAAGTGACCAGCAGCAAACAGGAGGAGGAGGAGAGAGCACTTAGCCATAAAAATGTGTTTCTATGGAAACACTCCAAAGGCTCTGCACAGTCTGCTTTGACTTTTCCAGCACATATACATAGAATAATTGATGTGATTCTTCTACTGACCTGATAACTTGTCACCTTTCTTGCTTCTTCAAACCTTTAATTTAAGCCTGTGCAAAATTGTCAGTCAAACCGAACCCCATTTAATTCATGCTTCTGTTTTGCTGCCTTTATAGGTAGATATAATTCACAAGAGACTCCATAAGGATATCCTCCACAACCCTGTGGTTATGTTGAACTTCTGCCCTGACCTCAAGTCCATTTGCTCTGACTTGAGGAAGGTTCACGGCGAATTCATCTTCCTCATCGACCGCAGCGGCAGCATGAGCGGGGTTAACATCAACCGTGTGAAGGTATTTTAATCTCAACGCGCCATGCGTTGCTATAAAGGTGATCTGCGAGCAAACATTAAGATGCATGCTGATTTACATATAAATTACACACCGTATCACATGCCATCAAGAGTTTTTTCATTAAAAAGTATTACAGTTGATGTCAAACACATCAATATACATTTTCCAAAGAGATTAAATGCAAAGTTAATCAATCACATGTCGTTAAGCGCTTTCAAATAGCTTTTTAAGCTCAAGGTCTTAGTGTTTCTGCTATCTGTGAAGATTGTATGTGCTTAATCAGCTGTAGGAAGGCATGCATTCAAGGATATTGATCGTACAAATCATTCACTATCCGCCCATCTTCCAGTTGCTAGGATTTGAAGTCTAATCGGTCTTCAATAGGCTACCTATAAAGCTAACTCAGGGTCATTCAAGGTGGATATATTTTTTATCATGTTTATTTGGCTGCTTGTGCACTGAATGTGTCCTGCGATGTGATGCTGGCAGGTGTGCATTTGTGACTCATACCCTGGGTTTTATTGAAGGTGTTACTACACAGTCTGGGCTTAAGACCAAGGTGAGCCTGACTGCGATATAATGAATATTTACCAAGAAGTACTGCAGAATAGCTTTTAATACATCTATAAAATTGGAACATTATATTTCTGTTTCTGAACCTGAAGGAATGTTTTATTGGAGATTGTGCAGTCGATGAGGTATTTGTGATATCCACCTGAACAGAGGTTGAGATAAGTGGTATTCTTCTAGAAACGGCTCCTCTCCTGTAGAAAAGGCGGTGATGGACGAAATGATTCTGTATGATGGCTCTCACTCCTCTCAGGCAAAATCTGCCGTGGAGCACTGACAGCTGTGTAGAGCACATGCTTCCATTTAACCACGCATTAAGCAGAGGAGTGTTTTATTTTTTGCTTTTAGAATTTCAGATTTCACATCAGTCTTTGTTCAGGTCAGGAACTAATGCTGCTCTCGGTCTTTTTTTGTAGGATGCCATGGTGGTTAATCTGAAGAGCCTGGTGCCTGGCTGCGTTTTCAATGTCGTAGGATTTGGATCTACATTTAAATCACTATTCACGACAAGCCAAAGCTACGAGGAGGTAATGCTGCTCTTTATAATGATAATGAGATAATCATAGCTAGTTTATCAGTCATGGGTTGTAGAACCCAGACAAAGCCTTCAGGGGCAGGAAGTAGGGTAACACTGTGCAGCTCAGAGTGGACATACAGTAAGTATGTGTGCGCTTAAACGCCACATAGCCAAATATACAGATTCTACCTTGAAGATGAATGTAACCTCTGGATCTAACTTGTTACCCAGCGTAACAAGTCAATTCAAAGCCATAAGCTATGAAGATTTTTGTGGAATATGGTAAAAAGATGTACAAGTTAATGGACAGAATCCAATTGAAAACTCCTTACAAGACTAAACAGCAACTGAAATTAGTATCAATAACAGTTTTAAAGGTTCTAACTTTCTTTAACTCTCTTTGTACTTACTTGGTGAAAAAGCTGGTAATGTTGCATTCAGTTAAAACAATCAAAATGCCTCTTGGGATCAGGTATATGTCCTTCTCACTCACTATTATTGGGATTTAGTTGGCCAAGCTTTAAAAACCAAAACTGTTACTTCAGCCAGGCCGAAAACATGTTTGTTTCTGCATTAAAGTTAAGCATTTTAACACATACGTCTATGGGACTCACTTTTGGATCTAGCTTCAAGCGGCCATTTGAGGAACTGCAGCTTTTAGGACACTTTTCTGCATTGCCCTTGTTTTTTAGCCCAGTGGATACATCTTGTGTTTTTTTTCCCTTCCTCCAAAGGAGCTCAGTGCTGTAGCCACCCACTAGAAGGCTATCAACATATTTTGGCTTCACTTCTAGGAGCTGTCATGTCTTGACAGCTCAACAAAACATCAGACATCCCCATACACAATCCACACAAACAGTGTTTTATTTTAACAATGAATCTCATTGTTCTTAACATTAAGCAGGAGGATATTTTTACATCAAATTCCAAATTAGTTTCTCCGTGGCAAAGTCTAACAATCCCTGAATCACAGCCCTGATTAAGCCTAAGGATTTAAACTGTAGTTTACCTTTTATTTTGAAGGCTTTTATGATTCACTTTGAGCAATCTTTATGAAACAGCCAGCTCATTTTAGCTTCAGTGCTGATTAATAACTGCTCAAATCTCAGAAATAATACAACCCTGTCTTCTTTTTTCTGACTTGAATAAATATAGATCTTTGCATTTTGTGTGTTGTGTGAGTACAGCAGCATTATGTCTTGAATTAACATCTTATTTTCATGATCCAGGATGCCCTGGCCATTGCTTGCGAGTATGTTAGAAAGATAAGAGCTGACATGGGGGGGACGAACATCCTGGCACCGCTCACATGGATCCTGAGGCAGCCTTTGATCAGTGGACACCCCCGCCTGCTCTTCCTGCTCACAGACGGTGCTGTCAGTAACACGGGCAAAATTATCGATCTGGTCCGCAGTCATGCACGCTACATCAGGCAAGTATTAATGTTAACACACGCTGAATGTTAGACAGAATAACGAATAGCATTATTAGGGATATCTTCACTGTAAAACCTGTTCTGGTTTCCAGACATATACAAGCAACCCATTTGATGCTAAAGACACTATGCTGTTGTAATAAATCCTTGCTTCTTATGCAGATAGCAAATGTGGAGCTTGCCTATACTATAAAATCACATCTCAGGGTTAAATGTAGGACCTGATTCTGCAGCTGTAATCCTTTCAAAATGAAATCTGGCAACATGCAGCTTGTGTTATTTCATTTCAGCTTCGAATTCTGATTAAAAACCAACAACAAGTCAGTGTGAATGAGGAATTAAAAAAGAAAGAAAGGAAGCATGTGAACACTGGGTTGAGCTGCCGAGTGAGAGGGAGCACCAGTGGAACAATAGACCTGCAGTATGCTGGGAAATCATTTTATTTTGCCACCTGCATCTAAGTCTCACACTGAAAAAATCCTGTCCTGAGTCACTCTGGACATAATTGACTTTTGTCTACTCCCTTTTAATGGATGCCTCCCCCCAGACGATTGCATTAGGCACACGGAGCTTGGCCAAACCATCAGCACTTCCTGGGCCGTAATCGCTCTATGCTTGCAAATAAGAGGCGCCATTCAGAAACAGGCACAAACAACGATCAATCTACATTTTTGTGAATCCACGATGGATTTTTAACTGTGTCGAGGGAGAAATTTCTTTTTTCAGTCTGCACTCTCTGATTTAATTAAAAATGCAAGCTGGTGCAATGAAATTAGGCAGCTCATCCCTCTGTGGTAAATGAAGTATGAATTGTAAAATCGTTTGCTATCAGCCAATCTGCCTGGAGAAGTATTTCGACTTCAGTTTCACCAGAAGACATTGTAGGCTTTTACATAAAGCTACTGAAGAATTATGTTACTTCTAGTTCATAAATGTCTTTGCAGCATCTCGTTAGTTGTCTTTGTGTTGTGCTCGCATTTTGGGAAGACGCTTGTTGTCATGCTCATGTGTTTCGTGAGCTATTCGTGGAGCTGCAGTGTTTAATGTCTTTGTGCAGATGTTTTACGTTCGGCATAGGACAGAATGCTTGCAGGAGGCTGGTGCAGGGGCTGGCGACAGTTTCCAAAGGAACAGCGGAGTTTCTCGCTGACGGAGAAAGGCTTCAGCCCAAGGTACTAATTTCCAGCTTTGTGTTGCTTTCTTAACAACAGCCAACTATTCCGAGGGCCGCTGGAGAGCCATTATGCAGAGGTTTCAAAGCACCAAGTGTCCGCCACTGATACCAATTAGGAAATCATATCTCAGAGACACAATTCACTTTATGTTTTGGTCAGAGAGAAGCTGGCTTTTATAGTGGAAAGTCTTTTTTAGTTGGCTTGTTTTCACTCCACAGATGATAAAGTCCCTGAAGAAAACCATGTCTCCTGTACTCAGCGACATTTCCATCGAATGGCTCTTTCCTGAAACCAAAGAAGTGCTGCTCTCCCCTGTGGGCAACACTTTTCTGTTTCCAGGGGACAGTCTGATTGGCTACAGCGTGGTTTGTGATGCCACCCGCTATCACGACAACCCCAAATCTGTAAGACACCTCTTAAAAAGTGACAAATGACAGCATGCGTGTTGATATTCTGTTTTGTAAACACTTCAGAAAAGGAACATCAGATCACACCATGTTTTTCTTGTGTTTATGTTCAGTGTGATAAATCATTTAATCATTGAAGTAAATCCTGATGGAGATATATAAAAATATAAAAGCAGCTCTAAGGAAGCTTTTAATCAAACCTTGTGAAAAAGTCTCTTTTTGCATGTGTCACCTACTCAAAATCGAAACAGGATAAGAGGAGGCGATACAGCATGATGCGCTCTGTTGAGTCAGCCAGCTCAGTGTTTTACCACTCTCAAGAAGAGGACCCAGTGAAGACAGCTGGTGACAATCTGGGTTCACACAGGGAGGGCCATTCTGGAACTCTGTATGATTCCTACCAGGACTCCATGATAGACAGCAGCCCTGTCGGCACAGACCATGACCCCATGGGTAAGAACTTACGGCAGAAATGAGTGGTTGACTCCTGAATGAGGGGATTTCTGTTTTTCTAAACTATAGGTTTGCAGAATGTCAATTTGTGTGCTCCTATTCTTGCAAATTGCTGTAATTTAGGTGTAACTATGATTTCCATCCCAACTGCTGAAGTGGTGCGTTAGTCAGACTAAAATGTGTGTTATATGATTGACAGGAAATTTTGCACAGGTATTCACGGAACCCACAGGATGAGTCATATTGAATTTTATGATCCTTTGACATTTTTCATCCAGCGCTGCTATGAGGTTTATATTTGTGGTTTTGATTGAAATGCCTTGACAGCTGTTGGATGGATTGCCCCCAAATTTAGTGCAGACATTAATGTCATCCTGAAGGTTTTTAATAGCTGTAGGTGTCCTTTAACTTTCTATAAGGTTAAAAACAATTTGTCTAGTACTTTGCTTTATCACCTAAAACCTACAAAACTATTCCCAAACCCACCAGTCTAATTATACCTCGAAGTGTAGGAGGTGAGTGTGCTGATACGCTAATCTAATGGTTCTCAAATGTTTTCTGGCATGTCCCACTTTGGAAGCTGAAAAAAAGTTCATCCCACACGCCACAATTTTTATTGATTGCAATGAACAAAGGATCCATGTTTTATTACATTTTACTTAAATAAAAGTGCAAATCAGCACAGACTCACCTTAGTTTCACTTTATAGATTTTACCTGGCTGTTTATGATGGCTGCCCCACAGTTTGAGAACAACTGCATGAATCCAAGCATGGTAATATTGCCATTTTTGGCAAGTTGCTATGTGCCTGTGAAGGTTCGCAGTCATCCAGGTCGTCGTAGTCTAAGGAGCTTGGAAAGAAAAGTATCTGGACTTCTTTAAGTTTTCTTGAAGATGTTTCACTTCTCATCTGAGAAGCTTCTTCAGTTCGAAGCGCAATTGGTGGAGAATCCTCGATTTTAAGCCTTATGGGAGTGTCCACAAGAGGGTCATGGACCCCCTATTGATCTTCTACCTAACCATGAGCCAAGGTGTGAAAACGAGTGTAGTTCACAATCAGCCAAGGTTTCAGGTGAACCCATTGTGATGAGGTCAAAAGGCCCAGGATGTTAGTGGGTGTTGAGGTTTCTTGGAAGGGATCTCAAAACTGGATTATAGATGGCAAACAGTTGGTGCCTCAGTTCAAAGATGGTCATTCACAGTGGACATAGATGGCTTCTTTCACTCCTCTTTCAAACCGTCTGTCTTCTCTGTCCAAAATGTGAACATTGGCATCCTCAAAAGAGTGACCTTTATCCTTTAGATGCAGATGGACCGCCGAGTCTTGTCCCTTGGAGGCGGCTCTTCTATGTTGTGCCGTGCATTTATGAAGTGGCTGTTTGGTCTCTCCAATGTAGAGGTCTGAGCTTTCCTCGCTGCACTGTACAGCATACACTACGTTGTTAAATTTGTGAACTAATCAGATAGTTTTAAAAGAGCTCAAAGTAGGGCGGTTGTTCCCAGACTATGGGGCATAAAACCTGCAGTAGGAGTTCTGCAGTAAGGCTAAGCAAGAATGATGCATTGCCCTGCACTGCCAGAAAGGCAGGGAGTAGTTTGTAAAAGGAATGCCAGGTTAATATCAAGCAGATGATGAATCATTTTACAAATACCAAAACAAACACTATAACATATGGAGAGCCTTATCTTACCATTGGGTGGGTAATGAAGAGAGAACACAGTGTGCTCAGAGTCTCAATATATTAGCTTCTGACAGCACAAAGCTGAGAAAGGTAGGACGCCAGCTGAAGCCTTTGTTTGTCTATTTTTTTTTCTAATGTTGTATTTCATTTTTACTTTACAGCGAGTGCTTTGTCTATAAATCAGGGAGTTTGCAACCAGGGATGTAAGTGTGTTTAGGTCCATTGGAAACAAATGTGGTGAACTTGGCATTTTGATTTAGTAATTACCATTTCAGTGTGGTGGAACCTACAATTATGTGTTTCACGGTGTTGTGAATTCGTTATCTTTGTACTTTTGCGGGCTTTTTTCATTTTTGAACAAAACATCAGGTTTAGATAAGACATCACCGAGAAGGCGTGCCTATAGTACCAACCAGATATCAGACTACAACCCAGCAAAGAAGGTCTACACTCCCAGTGACTCCAGCTCTGTGGCGGTGAAGAATCCACTGAGGAGAGCCAAAGTCCAGGAGCTGATAGGCCAGATGAGCCCTGAATATGATGCACAGTGGAGGAATGACTACCAGGTGAGCTTTAACAGTAACAGCTTCCTTTTTAGTTTGCGTTTAACTGATTTAACGGCTGAAACATGAGCACAAAAATAAACCACTATCAGCTGTACAGGCAGGAGACTTTGATGATGATGGAGTTGTCATGATGTCATTGTATAGAAATTGATATTTATATTCAGACCCTGCTGACAATTAAACCGAGTCTTGTCTGGACTGAAGTATAATCAAGGACGCACTAATGCACTCTCTTCAGTAATGAAGGGCAAAATTTATGAATTGCAATTAAGTCCGACTATTACTCGGGGAACGTGTCAGTATAACTAAGCAGAATTCACTGGACTGTAAAGAAATTATCTTCTCTTGTGAATCCAGTTGAGGATTCAATATATTCTTGCTTGATTAACTGAGTAAATATAGCACATTTCAATTTTCTGCACAAATTAAAAGACTAATATAAAAGATTTGGAACCCTCGGGCTTTTTACACTAATTAAAAACTCAATGCTGCGATGGCCATTCTTCCTTTGTTACGCTGACATTTTCTAAACTAGAAAATTGTCAGTTGCCCTGTTGCAATACAACGCATGGTTTGCAGAGTCCTTATGTAATTATTCACTTGAAAGCCCCCTGAAACCTGAGCCTGAGTGAGCACACAGAAATGACCAGAATTACAATTAGTAGGCGAGGTTGCAAACCTTATTAGACCTGTGATAGGACCAGGGTCTTTCGAATTAAAACTCCTTCTATTGTTTTCAGCCGCAGCTGGCAAGTCTGGGTACCACATCTACCAGGGGGCGTTCTGCCAGCTGTCACAAGCCGCTCCTTCAACAGGAGCTCTTTCTGCAGCAGGAAGCCGACTCTGAGCATCATTTTCATCCCCAGCCACAGGACGATCCTCCGCCCAGCGGCGGCAACGTGACGCCTGTGTCTTGCAATGCTGCCAGGGAAGATGGATCCAGATCTTCCACAGACAGCCCATCTCTTGGGAGCATTGGAGACACAGGTGAGAGGGAAAGTAGAATTGTTTTGCATTAGTAGAAATCTCTAAAAGAAAGTAAACATTTTGAAGCTGGCCTGATTTTTATAGTGTAGCAGCTAATGGGTTGAATGCGGAGTGCATCGTTTTAGAGGGGCTTAATTACAAATGCACTGTAGCAGTAAATTAACAGAGTTAGAGAGCTAGAGGAGAACATAACCTCCATCTGTACAAATATATGACTTACAGTGAGAAATTGGCTTGGGCAGAACGGTGGTTAGCACTGTTGCTCCACTGCAAGAAGGTCCTGGGTTTGAATCTAGAGCTGGAGTTAGATAAATATTGGCTAAACTGGCTGTAGATGTGAATGTGAGTATGTATGGTTGTCTTTTTCTGTGTTGACCATGTTAAAAAAAACATATTTATTTTTTTAAACATGTTTAAAAGGGGATGTTCATATTCAGAGGGAACCCGTGCCACCTTAAAATGATGGACCTGTCCATAGTTTACTTGGACTGTGGTACACATGTAGGGCCAGCACAGAGCTCCAGTGCTGCATCAGCAACAGTTTAAGCCATAAAAAACGCAAAACAAACAAAGGACAAATCTATAAAATGTCTTTATTAAGTAATTAACAAATATGTAAGAGGTCAGTGTGTCACCGCTTCCCCAATAAAGCCACCAAATGCTGAAATGCATGAGACCTATGTTCTGTAAGAGCCTGGGTTGGCACCAGAGCTGGATGGGCGATCGACTTTGATAGAGGCCCATTTGATTCAGCTCACTTTGCTGTTTCATTAAAAAAGAGAAACGTGAACACAATTTAAAAAGTTGCATGTCTTAAGAAGCATAGTATAAAAACAAGAGACGTTTTATGATGAGACAGAAGTAGATTAATGAACTCATCACATACGAGGTCACTGACTGTGAGCACAGAATATACTCAGAATATTAAGATTTGTTTTGCAATTTTCAGGTCAAATCATGCTATAAAGCCAGCTGCACAAGCTGATGAATAACCTCTTTTTAGTTCCAAAGAGACACATGAGGGCTACTTCCCAAACTCTTGACTTACATAGGCCCATCCACTCCAAAAAACTCCAGTGTTCTTGTTAGTTAGTGACCACAATTGGAGCACATGTACTAAGCTGCTATTACCCAAACAATTGACTTGAGCTTGAGCTGCAATACCTAATTAGACATGAGAGTGTTTTAACTTTTTCATTATCAAAACTGTACTTGTAGTTGCAAAAGTATGTCAGTAGAATTCAACCGAATTCAAAAAGTGACCTTTTTTGGATAGGCTTGGATCCCAAAAGTCCATAATGTTGATGTTGGCAAGAGTGCATTTAAAAAGCTTGTGTGTGCACATGAAAGAGAGAGGGATAAACATATATGAAATGTGCTACAAAAGCTGAGATGCTGAGATGTGACATGTTTGCAGCTTGGATTGTTAAGGGCAGTGTCAACACAGGCCAGCAGGGAGTCAGGAGAATAGCATGTTCAAGCATGGCATGAGGTAAACATGATCGTAAATCGAAGCTCTGACACTCAATTCACGGGAAGAGCAGGAAATGTTTTTCAATGTCTGGGGACAAAGCACAAAATTATCTAGGAGATGAATGATAAACAGAAGAGGTAGAGTTTTAGAAAACAGTTATTAAAGTAGAAAATCAAGCAGACAGAAGAGCTTTGGAAACAGGAAATAAATTAATTCAGCACAAATCCAGTTCCATACGAGCAGCAGCAGGTAATAAGCTTAAGAGAAATAAGAGGTCCTCGCACGGCGGGATTGATAAATCCACATCAAATCTTGCTCCTGTGATGTTTCAGATGGTTATGGACACCAGTTGTGCCGAGCAGAAACCCCACAGGATACCCACGCTGCACATCTGGATGCTGCCAACCAGCACAAAGGTGACTGCAAGGCTGTGGTGTCTGGACTGCTGTGCGGAAAACCAATGAAGTGGGAGGTTGTGTTTGATATCGAGCCCTTTCTGAATGGCCGTGAACGTGAGGAAAAGGTTCACGAGGAGCTGTGGAACGAGACCTTCCACCACCTGGCCGGCCGCTCCATCATCAACGACTTTGAGCACATGGCCGATAAGGAGTGTGAGATTGAACACGGTGAGCTCTATGGGGATTCCAGTGTTTAGAAGGAGACGGGGGTAAATTTTAAGATTAAAAGACTTTGCAGCAGTAGGCCTCCTGCTAATTCAGATTTGATATTTGGCTGTCTGTCGTCTGGTTTTGGCATTTTAGATATAAAACTTTTCACGAATAGTTTGACATTTTGGCTTTCTCACTTTCTCACCAAAAGCTTTTAGAGAGGACTAACATCACTGTCGTGTCTATCCATTAGATACAGTGTTAGGTGGTATGAGGTCCTTTAGAGATCCTGTTATGGGATTTTTTTCCCTTTGCATGGAGCCAAGTGAGCTGTTTCTTCCTCTTTCCAAAGCAGTGTAAATTTTCTGATTTACTTCCTTACCCGAAAGTAAATAAGTATATGTCATTTATAATTTACTAATGTTTGGAATGATTTTATTTGATGTTATATAGTATTATATATAATGCTCATTGTGTTTCACAGGGTCTGGCAGGAAGTACCAGTTATACAGTATTCACACCAGCAAAGCCTGCAATATACTGAGCAAATACACAGCGTTTGTTCCCATTGACCTGGACACAAATGAGTATTTGCAGACATGTATTGAATACTTAAACCCTGGTAAGTAACACAAATTAGGTGTGACAAGGTTCCCTTAAAAATGTTCAATCAGCTGCTTATTTTTTAAAAGACTGCTGCTGTGCCTGACACAGCAATCTAAAGTGTGATATTTTTAGAAATGCCTTTTCTTTTCTTTTGCAGAGCATTTAGAAGAAAATATCAATGTCATTCTAACATCTCGCTGTCAAATATGAAGCATGAGATGAAAAAAAGGAAACTTCCTATGGCATTTATAGTCATTTTTTTTCTAAAACATCAGTCTGAAAGAGTATCTAGCCTTGATATGGGTATTTCAGGCACAGCTCATTGACATAGCCGCATTAAAATCACACACTGGTTTCAGTATCCACATTTTGAGGATTAAGCATTAGTATTTTGGCTACTATCATATTTCTTTTGGAGCCAGACGCCTGTACAATCCACAGAGACCAAAAACATTTTGTGTACCAAGCTGTAAATGCTGTAAATATACTCAGAATAACAGTTTAACATGTAAGTCTTGGAGCCAGCTTTAAGTGACACCTGAGGTACTTTAGTTTTTAGCACGTCTATGGTGGCTTCATTTTATTTCAGCTCCTGTGGTTGCCCCTTGTTTGAACCTTTCGCTTGTGAAAAGCAGTCAGTCAGAAGAAACCTGTCTTAAAGGAATCTTTGCCTTTTAAAGGAAGACGTGCTAACACGACATGTTTCAGACAGTCAGTGACCTGGAGAGCTGCAGTAAAGCTCACTATTGGGTTAACTGGGATTAACTTGAAGTGTGAATTATGCAAAGCTGCTCCAGGAGAGTCCAGAGCTGGAATTCAGCATGATAGGCTACCAAGAGCCCAGAAGCGATTTGGCAAATAGAGATCATTAACTATAAATGAAAGTAAGTGGCATGTAGCAGAAACAGACAAACAAACAAGACAAACTTGTGATTTAAAGTGGGTGGATACAAAATAACCAGGTAGCCTCAACCAGTCAAGCCTCTACCAATGGGAGTAACAGATATCTTTAGTAAACATAGGATGGCATGTAAAAGGGGCTGCTTGCACAACCAGAGTGACGGAAAAGAGAGTGAGTAAATTTGTGGCAAAATAATTTAAATAATAAAAACAATCACTACTTCCTCCAGTTGAACATGGTAAATTTTACTCTTATTAAACAAAACCACTGTGAGTGAGTGGGGCAATGTACACCATATTATTTTAAACTTCTTACCTAATTATATATACTTTTTTTCTTAAAATATCTGCATGCATCTATTATACTGATACTGGTTCCTTTCCTTTTCCTGTAAAATGCACTAATGTAATTTGTAATTTACTATTTTCATTCATGTTTATGCAGAAAGGGATCATTTATACTCTATAAATACAGGATAGAAACCCCCAAGAATTCTGCAACAATGGATTTTGTTAGCCATGACTGACTGCAAGACATCGCAATGTAATAATTCAAAGTTGAAAATTACAGTAAAATCAAAGCCTATATTGTTGAAATACATATTGTTGCCACACCACATTACCAGCATGTCCAAATAACCTCCCCAAAATCTGTGAAGCAGGTTTAAAAAAATAATGGTAGAGAACATTTTCATGATTAAATTTCATGTCTAGAGTTTAAGTCCCTCTTCTGGTTACTTAAAGGTTAAAATGTGTCTATGCAGCTTGAATTATCCCATGTTTATAATAAAGTGCAGATTTCTTTCTGTCTGAATTACACATCAGATGCCCACAGCAGGCTTAAAAAATGTCTCACGATCAAAAATTTGTTTTCAGGTGATGGTCTGAAGAGGAACTCACACTCCAGCTCTCGCTCAGGGAGCAGAAAGAACAGAGGTTACTCCATCGGGCTTGGCCGCTCTCAGTCTGGCGGCATGTCGGAGGAAGTCGAAGATGTCCTGCTGCACAACAGTAGGCTGCATTTTTTTATTCTTGGCTCACATTTCAGTCCTAGGGAAGGCGCTTTCATTTCTGGATCAATAGCCAGTTAGAGATAAAGTAGAAAGAAATGAGACACGAAGAGGTCTTTTATTCTGATGCAAGCATGGAGTATATGATCAAAGGAAGCAGTTACAGGAGCATTATTCAATGAGGAAAGAATAAGAATCATATTTATTAACTGAAATCTTGGTTCATTCAACAAGGGAAAGGTTTCGATCTTGCTTCACCAGCTCTGGGAGCTGTGAGATGTTGAGCTCGAAAAGCCGAGTGCTACTTTACATTAAAAATAATCCAGCTTCAGCAAAGGGTCACAACATTTTAAACTGATTTTTCAGTGGTGGCATAGCAACAGCGGGAGCTAAGACGAGCACGCCACTCGAACATCTGCTAGGCACTGCCGGTTAAAAAAAGAACGTGCACAGATACAGATGAGTTGCATCAGCATTATTAGACAGATACCACCCTTTTTCCACAAAAGAATGACCTCTTAGGTTTGGAATGATAAGAAATAAAACTGAGCACAGCTGACAGTTAAAATCTTTTTCATCATCGTCTCAGGTGGAGAAGACGGCGTCTCTCCGTGCAGCACCCCCTCCTCCGCCGGCTGGGAGAAGTGTAGCTTTGCGGAGGGTAAGTGTTACACATCAAACGGTCAGTGAGTTTGCTGTGCCCCCTCAATTTTCCCTCCACGAAGACCTTTGACATGCACTGTCTGGCACTTTGTTGTCGTTTTCTCTGCGGCGCGGCCGCACTGGTCCAAATGAGAAACATGAGATTATTGACATTTTTAGTCCCTGTGCTTGTCAGTGACGACAGAAGTCGACAGAATTTGGTGGCTTGTATTGACAAATGCCGTCTGGATCTTATTTGGAAAAAAATAAAGAAACAAACAAGAAGAGTTTCACCTGGAGAGGAGAGGCAGCTATGTCTTCTGTCACTTATATATCAGTGGGTGTTTTTCAGGCATTTATTATTTCACACTTAGGAGGGAAAACTAAATAAGGTGAAAAAAATGCACGCCCTCACTTCTCTCTTTTCCCTTGGCTAACTCTGCCTCTCTTTGTGTCTTGCTGTCTCCAAGTCTCCCAGAGGAGTCCCTCTGTGACCTCCGACCAATCACAGAAATCGGTGGAAAGCCTTTTTTCTGCCAGGTGGGTGATTGGAGGCTTGCTGGCTGAATTAATGTGCTGAGGCTGTGCTACCACTACATTAGGAACTAAATTGGTATTACAATTCGACTACTTCACAGGGCAGAAAATATTCTTAACATCATCTTTATCCATTCCTGTCAGCTGATTTTGGCTTTTAGCGTAAGATGTATTGAGGTTAATGTATCAATTGAATGCAGGGTATCATTAGCTGTGACCCTGAACTGAGTTACAATTTCTTCTCCTCAACACAAAGAGTCCACAGCCATGCTTGCAGCTCTGCCAGGATGTGTTTAGAGCTGAGACACCTAGGTTATACAATGTGCTGATGCCTGCGCAGAGTGAAACACTGTTCAAATGAATGAAAGAAAGAGGCCAGATGGCATAACTGTAAAAAATATACAATATTTTCAGCTGGTCTCTAATGGAAAATCTCCATAGCACTGGATGAAAATTGACTGATTGAAATAGCTGAGTGAAGTCTGACTTTTGCTCACCTCATCACAAGTGGCCAATCATGTTAGTTAGAAATTTGGCTGGAGGAGGAAAGATTTGGAGGTTTGCATAAGGGGGTTACTTCTGGGAGAGTATACCACTCTTGCAGGTAGAACATATGTGCTGAATGATGTGTAGAAAGTATTCTCTGAATCAACTCAAATTGTGACCTGATTTTGGTGTTAAATAACAGGTTAAAAGAGAAAGTTACTTAGATACAACCATACTTAATGGACAATGGAGATTTGTTAAAACGAGCAGTCAAGTTCAACATCTAAATATAACAGATTTAGCCATACGGGCAAATTTTTGTCTGCAGTCGCTTGCAGGTTAACATTATTCATTACTAGTGAAGAAAAACCAAAAGTACAAAAGGATCTGTGCGCCGATAAGAGACAAAATCATGTAAATGTTGAGACATTTTGCAAAGAAAATAATTTGAGATTATGTATATAAATCAGATAAAGCCACTGCTACATCACTCACAGAATCTAAGCTGAGCATGTTGGTCTCACCCATATTACTGTAGTTAGATCAAATGTTGAAGCTGATGGGTGAACATGATATACTGCATTCTCAAATGAAATAACTCTGAAATCATAAGGTAGCCGTGCCCTAAGGCATACCCTGCATTTTTGTCTCTTTTTTGACCTCACATGGGTATAGTGGGTTATATGTGTTTTTATAAAATACAATATAAATGTTATACAGTTTGTTACATAAATATTTGGGCATTTTGTGTAATCTTGCATCTCTACGTCCCCACAGTGGAAATTTAATGAAGAAGTGCTTGAACTTTAAGCTTATTTCAAGGGTTTAACAAAAGTATTGCATGAACGATTTACAAATTACAGTCACATAGACTCAAAAGTAACTGGACAAACTAATATAATTTTAAATATAAGGATTGTTTGTAATACTTGAATGAAAATCATTTGCAATCAGTAGACTGCATAATGTCTAAGACCATGAAAATGGGTCTCTTTGCCTTTGGTTTTGTATTTAATAACTAATAGTTTAATAAGAGGTGGTGTCTTTGAGTGCAAACAGGTGGATATACAATTTCTCTGCTTAGAGAAGCTCCTTGATTGCTTTTGCAGTAGGTTTTGGGTCACTTTCCACTTGCACCGTGAAGCGCTGTCTGATCACTTATGCAGCATTAGGCTAAATTGGAACAAGGTATATTGCTGTGCTATTTTTTCCAAGTATTAAAACCTTAAATGATGTTAGTTTGCCTAATTATTTTTGAGCCTTTATGCATCAAAAATGTAATTTGTAAATAGTGGTTTACAAAACCTTTGTAAAACCCAAAGGTGAGAGTGTGCAGGGTTTGATTTCAAATCCACAATGATGGAGTACAGAGAGAAAATTAGAAATTACAGAAACACTTTCACCAAGACTTTAAACTAGTGATTGAGACCATAAACTCACGAGGACAGTGTTTACAGAGCTCATAAAAAAGTGAGCCGTGTTGTTATTTTCTCATAGATTTCTATACAGTTGTACTACTTCAGGAGTTGCCCCCTAATGGTCATATAAAGGAATGCAGATATAAGGCAATTCTTCACTGATTTGACTTTTTATACCTTGAGGGTAGTTCCCCTTAAAATGTATGTGGTCTGTGCAGTTTCATATCAATCCAATAAACTGTCATTGGAGATATTTCTGCATAGACGAAGACATTTTCCATCCCTAGAAATGGAGATGCCCAGAGGCTAAAAAAACCTCATTACCTGTAAAAAAAATAATTTCCCATTTTTTATTGGGTTATAAAACGTGTAAACTTTTACATAAAAGAAAAGAAAGAAGTTGTTGCCATTCTTTTCCTTCACAGTCAGTGGATTACACCTAATGATGGTTTGTGTTTCACATACTTTACACTGTAATTTACTTCTGCACCCCCCTCTCCTCTTTAAGGCTGGCCCTCAGCAGGACTCGTCTGCTAACTCGAGCTGCCAAAGGATTCATGTGTCGATCTCACAGCAAGTCTGGTGATTCAATTGGAGAGAGCGACAACGAGAACAAAGACTACATTCCTCTGGTGGGCTGCAGATCTTTACATGTGAATGTTTTTTTAACGTACACTAACTCGAGCTGACAGAGTCTGTGAATCTGTCAGAGGCTGTTTAGACAGAGCGAACAATGAGTTTGCTCGTTTATGCTGCTTTGAAGAGCCCTGAGGCGTAAGGTGCACAGCATGTAAGCATGCTGTATTGTAGATTTAAATGTGGCGTGTCTGTAGTCTGACATTATATACACTCAGAATAAAAGAGACTTAAATGAAATTTCTTTCTGTGTTGCAAAAGAAATGGGTATGATTGATGGATTAATAGGGTGCTTATAATATGAGCATTTAATATTATAAGACCATGACCCTCGCTTCCACTAACCAAGACCTTAAAGGGAGCTCTAATTGTTCAGCACATGGCACATTGTCCGTATATTGTTTGGCACTTCCCAGATTCAGTGGAATAAAGTATGTGTCAGAAATGAATAGCTGTAGAATAAAAGATATGTAGAATAGCTGACCATGAAATGATTTCCTCTTCTTGTAACAGCGAGGAATCCTTGGTCAGAGCATCTCACAACAAGCTGTTGATTGGAGCAGAAAAAACCCCACATTGCAGAAGAACATCATGAATATGAATCAGCTGTGGACTTGCTCCCTTAGTCCTTATTTTCTATTGATACGCATAAAGACAAACACACAGTCTGCCAACTGAAACTGATTTTAGATGCTCTCCAAATACATGCTGCCCTCTGCTTCACTGCTGAAGGATTAAAGACTGCAGTAACTAAACAAATTAAATAATTTTCTAATAACTTCTTCTGTACAGGTGTTGTTGCAGTTGGCTTGTGGTGCATTTCCCCTGGACGCAGCTCTGTGCGATGCCATTAATGTGCCCATGGACAAGCTAAAGTGGACGTCCCCCTTCACCAGTCACCGCACCAGCCTGGGCCACTTGTCTCACTCCAGCAGCCGCCGTGCTGAGAGTGCTGATGATGGATGCAGATCACCGTTTGAGCAAGAAACATATCAGCAGCCTGCAGATCACACCGCAGGCATTCACAGCCTGTCTCATCTGTCCAGGAGCACCTGGACGGATGCTGGTCCCTCCTCGTTAGCCAGCCCATCTGCCGCTGCCAATCCCCCGCTCTCCACACTCTCCCGGGTGGATAGTGCACAGAGCTCTGGGTCAGGGGGCTTGGAAACACCATCGCCTGTAGAAAGCATGGTGTGGGCTACAGCGGTGGCCCTTGCCTGGCTGGAGCATAGCTCTGCCAACTATTTTATAGAATGGGAACTGGTAGCCGCCAAGGCCAGCATGTGGCTGAGTGAGCAGGACATCCCAGAGGGCCGAGATTTAGCATCAGTGAAGGCTGCTGCCAATCAGCTCTTCATCATCCTCAGACACTGGGATGAAAACCTGCAACTGAACATGCTCTGTTACAACCCTAACAGCGTCTGAGGCCTGTCAGTCCAAGACTGCAAGTACTCAAACCCTAACGATACTATGCTAACTGAGGCCATGCTATTCTCTGATCAGCAGTTTGTCCTCTGGAGTCTGATTTTGCGTTGCAGTTGTGAACAATGTGTGTTTTCTTCTGTTTGTGTGCTGTTCCTCCAAACATATCACAGGCTCTTCAGAGGAACTACAGTGTGTGCAAGCTGTTACCTCGCTGGTGCCATATGCTGTATCTGGATCACTATTAGCAATGGAGCTATCCGAGTTATGCCACTGATTTGAGTTTGAAAGAGAAGAATGCCAGTGTTAAATTTGTAGCATGCCATCAACCATCATCATCTGAGAAAAGCTATTACTGTCATCACATTGATGTAACAAGGAGAATGCTGCAAAACTATGGTAAGATCAACTGTTCCACTAATTAGTACACGCCATTTTTACAACAGTACAACCTTTTCTGAATTGTTTGGATTGTGCTGAGGGGAAACAAATGTTGAAAATAATAATCTGGTTACTTGCCCTCAGTACTGGCACTCTTTTCTAATGCTCGGTGCCATTACATTGTTAGTACTATTTGCCATTTTTGCAGTTTAATTGTAGCAGAGAAAGAAAAATATGCAAAAAGCTAGAGAAAATATGTCATAGGTTAACAATTTGTTTGAAAAAAAATATGTGGTATATGTGGGGAAATGTGTGTATCTCTCTAGCATGTGATTTACTGTCTATATTTCATACAGTTTTTATTTTCCCGTACCTGATTATAACTGTTTTAGAGTATAAGATTTATTATTTCTTTTACTTTTACTTAAAAACAAAAACACAGATGTGGAGCTGGATGCACCAGCGGTTTGCAGGTTCAGAATTATCCTCATAAGCTGAAGGTTTGCTAAGTAATAAGGAAATTTACACTAATTGAACTCTAATTCACACAGAGATTTTCCCTGTAATTTACCAGGTTTAACTGCTGTAAGCTGACATAAACATTGTTATTAATCTGTTAGAATAAAAAAGTGATTACGCTTTAAGAGGTTTTTCTAAATGAAGCTTCTCAAAAAATAGCACGAAACCTACAGAAATAATTAGGCTTTTAGCACTAAGGACCACACTTTACTTAAAATATATCAAAAGCATTATATAGACAAAAGCATTGGGCCGTGCCTCTTAAACTTTGAATTCAGGTGCCTTTTAAAATGGCTCATTCTAAAGAACCCACTGAATTCAAGCATGGTACTGTAACAGGATGTCATATCTGCAATAAGTCAGTTTGTGAAATTTCTTCCCTTCTTGCTGATTCCGAATCAGCTGTAAGTGGTATTATTGCAAAGTGGATGTGATTAAGAGCCACAGCAGCTCACACAAAGTAGCAGACCATGTAAAGATGCAGAGTGGGATGGCTGAGTGCTGAAGTGCATAGTGCATAAAGTGGCAAACACGGTGCTGACTTAATACCTGTAGAGATCCAAACCTCCACTGGCATCAGCACAAATCCTGTGTGCTGAGAGCCTCAAGGCATGGATTCAATGACCAAAAAGCCCCCCCTAGGAGGGGATTTGTATTTCTGCATTAATAAATCAGTGCCGTACATGCATCATAACCGCGATCTGTTCTGTAAACCTACGCTGTAACCTTTGCCATAACCTGACATGCTGCTCCCTGGAAATGTAACTACACGCCCCTGTTGTAATTGGTCCGTTCAGGAGATTCCTCCCCTGAGTTTCTGGCGACCTTTTTGCTGTGGGTTTTGAATGAATCAGTGGAGCCATGTGCATACAACCACGAATGTGGACGTTGGGCTCTACAAGGATTCACTGCAAAAGTCTAAATCAGTCTAAATCAGCCGTAATGTGTAGTTGGCCCAGTTATTTTGTCCATGTTGTGTTTTTATGCACTACATAAAGATGTAGGAAATACAATAGTAATTGCTAGTAGTATGGTATAACAGGCAATAACGGAAGCTAAAAGTTATTCTGTGATACTGGCTGGAGGACACCTGTCTTTAAACATAGCCGTCATCTTTATCTCAGTGTTATAGCTCTTAATTTTCATTATTGGGTCTTGCACAGTTGCAAACTGAAAAACTCGGACCATAAAAAGAGAGACAGACAGATAGAAACAGCCAAATTACTAGAAATTAGTTGCACATCCTGCTGACATCATAATCACATATAAACATATCTATATATATGCACAATTAAATTCAATACTTTTCTTTCCCCAGAAAGAGCTTTACTTTATAAGTTATGTTATTTGAATACAGATTTTTTATTTCAAAGAACAACTCACATTTGAAAACACTGTTTTAATATGAAATCACTCCCAAAACTATAATACAAATTCTGGAGAGATCCCACTGTGGACTACAGGTGGATGCTGGGGTGTTGTAGAGTTGAAACCAGTAGACATCAATGCAGGGTTAGATGGTAAGTTCTGCATCTTAAATGGGCTGCCAATTTGGGAGTATGTGTTTGGTATGTGATGGGAGAGCGAGGCATGTTATGTGTGCACGATGCAATCCTAAATGAGTTTTCAGGATTTAGTTGACTTAAATATTTTTTTATTGGAAACTATTTATTTGCACATTATAAAGCAAAATCAAAAACGGTTAAACCCACTTGTAATGATCTATAATTTAATTATCACTTATGTTGGACCTTGGATTTGCAAACAGCTGGTGCTGCCTACTCCCCAATAATATGTACAGCGACCAAAAGTCCTGCTCCTGAAATCAAAGATGAATGGCCCCTGCTAATTATCACTGTCAAAGCTTCTTTACCTCAAGTGCCTAAACAAGGTTTAAATCAGCTGAAAATGTAAAACCTGTTCATTGCAGTAACAATTGGTTCATTTAAAAATATATACACAGTCGATACCCTTCTTTCTGCCTTTTTTATTCTTCCTTTTCAGTCCATTTGAGCATGTTTCAGTATTAATTTTCTATTTTTTCCCCCTCGTTGCAGTGTTGCTTTACTCAGGTATTCCTTTTTCCACTCAGGCTGAGTTGCATACGTCCGTCTGCATGAGCACAGGTGTTTATGTTATGGTGTTTGATGATTCAATTGCCACATTGGAGGCAGTAGTGCAGTATTTCCCTCTCTGAACTGAGAAATACAATGTAGATGTCATATAGTAATATTTTTGTCCTGTAATTGCAGTATTTAGTGCAGCTGTAATTGAAATAAGTATTTTTTATGTACTGAGTCAGGTGTATGGTGCAGTATCTTTCAATTTGCTGTTCGTGCCTTTATAAATGATTGTTAACTGTTTGAGGCTGCTGAAAGCTTTTGCTGTGTCTTTATAATTGTGAATGCTCTGACCAGCTCTGAAGGTGCATGTAATAAAGTAAGTCTACAACCAAAGAGCTGGGGCTCAAGTCATTATTGTTCCTCTGCTACCATGAAGGCAGACCTCATGGACTAATACTGTGACCCTTGTCTTTTTAAGGATCTCCTGCTATGCTGATAATTCCAGGTTTACCCATCGGTTTGTCTCACTAATCTTCCTCCAAAATGAAGGAAGCACAAATGTCAATTACCAGTGGAGATGTCCATTTTGCATATACTTTATGGTGACTGGACAGTAAGTGCTGTGGGGCAAACAAACATGAACAATTTTTATGTTGATATATTGGCCAGTAATGGCTTTAGAGAAATGTCATCAAATCAAATCATATCATGTAAGTACACCACAGAGAGCACTCGATGAGCTGAGGGAAGCCACTGATTTCCTGGGCTTCCTACCTGCAGGAAATTCTATATTAATAGACATACGATTATTGCCAATATTATAAAAATGTAACCTGTAGTCAAGTACCACAATAAAGCTCTACAGAACATCTTCAGTCACATTGGTCTCACAGCCCTGTCTGACTGTGGCCTGCTGTTTATTTCAGTACATCAGAAAATTACTTGGAAACATGACACCACGGTGGCCATAAACCAGCTGTGAAATGGAGAGATTTTATTAGCGAAAAAGGATACGTGTTGCACAATGTGAAGAATTAAACTGGGAAAAAAGTAACTCTGTATGTACCTCTGAACCTATCAGTATATTGATCACCCAGCCACAAGTAAGAGCCCCACAGAGGTGCTCTTCAAAAGGAAAATCAGAAGGAAGCTCCCTGAAATATTACCGTCACAAAAAGATTTGGCGACAAGACACAAAAATCCTTAAAAAAAAAAATCAATGGTCTACACAGGCAACAACACAGGGCAAAAATACCACCTACGACCCTACAACTAAAACACAAGGTTTTACACCTCATACATATGACCAGGATGCTACACCTGATTAGATTTTGTGAATGGAAACAAACCTAGAAGCTAGAAACCTTTCTGGTCATGCACTATTAGAGGTCACTTATTTAGAATGATGGTCCATGATGGTACTTTTATGTGTTCATCAGTTTTGACAAGGTCTCCAACACCACTGGATGAAATGCATGATGGATGGATCAACAGAAAGACCAGATGCATTTCTCAGGTCCCGTGTCAGGTCTTTGCTGTATTTCCACCTGATAGCTCTCTTGTTGCAAACATCCTATTTGATGCCTGTCAAAATGTGTTATTTTTGACACTTTTTTGTATATTCAGCTAAAGAAATTTGGACAAATTATGTGCAGGCTGCTAGTAACAAAGATACAATTTATTTAATTGGTTGTTTGCTAAGTTGCTTGTTATGTGTAGAAACAATGCTGCTTCATCCCTTCAAATTACAAAAAAGGCTTTTTATGCACACTTGACAGGAGAAAAATGAGAACGTTTGGAGAAAGGGAGCAAAGTTGTTGGACTTCATGGTAAGTTTGGACAACATGCTTCTATAACTTGGTTCCAGCTGATAGTTGCACTCATCCTGCTGGTTGCTAGGGACTAACGTTTGTATGAGTAATGATACATTCACAGCAACTGGAAAATGAAATTTTGCTCTTGCTTTGACTATAAATGCACTCTGTAAACTTAAGTTTGGAGAGCAGTCTATTAAAAACTCTTTGGGCTTCACAACATTTTCCCATCACTGAACTGAAGTCAAGGTGACCTGAGCTACACTGGTTGTATTCCTTCCCCCGAGTGACACGGTACAAGTCTCATTAACAACAAAAAGCAGCCATAATGTGGGTCCTTGAAATCAAAGAGGGTGATAGTAATTAGGATGACAAGGCACCATTTACACCATCCACACTATTACAAGGTAAAACAAGCCTGGTGTGAGAGGCAGAGGGCGCATGAACGAGAAATGGGGGAAGAGAGGGCCAGCGAACGGAGCACCGGGTAAGAAAAATGAAAGCTCATTACTGCTGCGCTAATAACTGTCTTCACCCCTGTTTGAGAGATCAAACAAGACTCAAAGAGTTCCTGACATTGTGGAGTGCTTTGAAGAGCATGCACACAAAAACCCGTATTTAAATCACGATATTTTCTCAGGTGTGTTGTGATATTACGCAGCACGCCTTGATTCCAACAACAGACACGCACACACGTTAAAATCACCTTAGAAAAGTTTGGACTGTGTCCTGTTGCTAAGCTACTGACTATAATGCATGTGAAAATGTGTTGTTTGAACTAATCTTCTGTTATTTCATTTACAGTCCTATATATAGATTAGA